TTCTGGAAGGAAATTAGAATTTAATTTATGATTTCTTTTTTAATTCCGTTGTAGCAGTCAATTTCAACTTTACAACTTACTTTTTTGATGGTGCAATATTAGTCAATGACTTCTTATCGCCTATGGTGAAGCGAGAGAGAGTGTCAGACTCTTACCGACTAAACACCACCCTGTTCCTACTCCTGCATAGAGCCGGAGTCCTGGTGACAAGCTAGTGTCCGCAGCTCCAGGTGTAAGTGTTAGACTACAGTATTTGCTTACCACCAGGCAGACATATTTATAAAAAAGATACACGACAAAGTAATTAAATAATACAAATTGTAATATGCTTACTCTTATGGACAACTTTACAGACGAACAATTCATAATTTAGAAATAGCGTAATTAATATTACTTTCATAGCGAATTAAACACTCTAACGTTAATTATGAACCATTTTATGTCTTTATTTTAAACGTAACCACTGAAAATCTATTTTCTATTTGGTTATAGTATAATACAATTTTGTTATTCAAGTCGATTGAACTTAAAACAATCTGCGCACTTTTATAATTTTATGAGCTGTTTGTTTAATAAAAACTGTTTTGTAATATATATTTTAAGGTTGGCAACACTTCGCTGTTGCAAGTGACTGTGGTTTCAAAACCCGTTATTTCAAAAGATTGGTTTAAAATTAGGTACAGTTGAAGATTGTTAGTTTGTAAAAATCAGTAACAATTCCAATGTTTATTGTCAATAAAATAGTTGTAATAATTTTATTGGATTACAAATATAAAAATAGTTGCTCGCGCAATGTGTAACAAGTTTTATGATACAATAAAATGTTAGTATTTTTATATTAAAATGAAAGTGTGCGCTTGTGTTCTGCTGTTCACCATACTCGGTATTTATTTTGTCTTTGTTGCAATACAAACTTTTCATTGAATTTCTTTTATAAAATGAGTTATTATTTACACTTTTTTATCCAAAGTAAAATATAAATAACACATTTATAATATATTTGCAATCTGTGAGCATGCGCGCGTGTATGCAATTATGCATCCTAGCTTATAACGGCCACTTTATAAAATGTATGCCTTCAGTGAAAAGCTCCGACTTTTTGATAATTTTAAATTACTATACGTACTAACATTAATTAAAATAACATGTTTTCATGCAAGTCTAATAAATTACAAAAACGAATAGTTTTTAATAATTTTTGTAATCCAAATATACGTTTAACTTACAATATGTCTTACTACACAAAACATCTCAATTCTACATTAGCTGATTACATGTGAACGATACCGTCGACGATATGTACGTGTGTCGTTAACAAGTCAACCTCGCCTACCATCAGTTGACTGGACAATATGGATGAATGAATGAATGAATGAATGAATGAATGAAATACGTTTATTCGGCAAAAGACATGCACGCCAGAAAAAAATACTTATACATTGTGACATATAACAATAAAGAGATTTAAAAACAGACATATAAAGAAAAAAAAGACAATAGGTACATTATAAAACTAAAACAAGCCAACAATACAGGTGCAACATACTGCGCGGTGTTGGCGGACATGACCAATCCGAACGGGTCGCCGATTCTTCATATTACCAGATGAAGAAGAGACAGATAATAACAATATTACCAAAATATAATTAAACTAATGTACTGTTAAATAAATAATCATCAAATTTAAAAAAACCACAGATTATATTATACCTCTGTGCAAAAAGAAACTGTCAAAAATAATTATGTAAATATATGAACGTGCTATAATTTAATCATAACAACATCAGAACCTTACTTTTAAAAGAATAATAACGTCTAGGCGAAACCACAAAGTATGTATAACCGAATCATACAACTCTTTCTTCATTAGGAAATTCCAGTGCTATGTTTTCTCCACGCTTTACAGTAAAATAAATAAAAAACCTAAACTTTATCCATTAGGTTGTTATAGTTGTAAAGAACGTCTAACAATCTGGTTAAAAAAACAAAACTATGAAGATATTGAAAACTTGTTTTTTGTTTTACAGTAACCGAATTAAAAATATATATACAATAATAGTATTAACTTGATACAGTAATAATGAAAGAATAATAATAATCTAGTGTGTTGTGGTTTCCAATCTTAGTCGCTACGCCAGTGCATATACACGCTGACATATTGATGGTTGTTTTCCCGCAGCAGAACGATTTCCCTTTAGTAGTACTATCGAATAATGCAAGTTACTTTTTGAAAAAATAATTTTTTTTCTCCTCATATACTCAAAAAAATAATCATCAACTCGAAAGCATGAGAAACGATAGTTTCTCTTCTAAAATGTGACGTCAAATCAATGTTCATAGTAAAATAATCTCTCGGACTAAGTAATACAGCATAAACTGCAATGCACGCGCGCGCGAGCGGATCGCCTCACGACAAACAACAAAGGCAACCACCGCGCTCTCTGTCACTCGCATCGGCCCGCATCGCCTCGCATCGCTTTCATTCACACCAGTCGCACCGCGAACGCCGTCCGCGCAACCACGCAAGCGCAGTACAATATTATTGCCGCCAAAATGGATCGCCATTACGTTTTTTCTAATGTGGAGTACGTAGCTATGGTGCAATTGTACGCGAGGGCGAATTATGATTTTTGGGCTTTTAATAACCCACACGTTATTCGGGAATGTGCGCATCAAGTGCGGTTTAGTGTAAACGTGTGGGCCGGTATAATAAACGGCTGCTTAATTGGTCCGCATTTTGTGACAGGACACTTAACCGGTGAAACGTACCTACAAATGCTACGTAGTGTTATCCCGGACTTACTAGATGACATTCCGTTAGCAGTGCCCATGGATGGCCTGTATTACCAGCACGATGGTTGCCCTGCGCATTATCAGCGCGCCGTGCGAGAGCACCTCGACTCGGTGTTTCCCCAGCGTTGGATCGGTCGTGGCGGGCCAGTGCCATGGCCACCACGAAGCCCGGATCTTACTCCACTAGACTTTTATTTGTGGTCTAATCTCAAACGCCTTGTGTATCGGCAAGAGTACGAAACTCGCGACGCGTTAAAAAGTGCGATAGTGGACGCTTTTGATGTGATTAGACGTGACAGAGACACATTATTAAAATTGAAAGCCAATCAGTTAAAACGTGCACGATTGTGTGTGGAACGCGGTGGCTTACACTTTGAACAATTGCTCCGTTACCGGGAAGTGTAAGTACTTGTACATTTGTAAATAAAACAATAAGATAGGTGATTAAAATCATTGTAAATACGTTGATTCCCATTTTTTAAATACGCCATAAATACTTTCCCAAATTCAGTAATAAACAAGATAATATCTCTTGATTAAATTTTGTTTTATGTTTGTGTTTAGTAAGTGTAGTTAAAAAGTATTTACGACGGTCCTAAGCCCGTTAAAGTATGAAGGGAAAATGGAAATCATTTGTTAGTAAATACTGAGTTATCAGCCTTTTGATAAGCGCGAGCGACAATGACAGCGGCCGGTGGCCGGTCGCGGCGGTACTATTGGTTCGCGGTTTCTTTCAAGTTTCGTGTATCACTATCGTAAAACTGCTATTTTTTTATTTAAATTAAAAACAACTTTCTCAATCTATTGTATTACTAAAATAGAATCATTTTACTGTGGGAAAACAACCATTAAAATATCACGGTGTATTACTAGTGTAAATAAACTCATAATTAAAAGTAAACATTTTTACTAAATTATATATTCATCAACAGCCTATAAATGCTGCCCGGTTTGAGCATTAAACTGTCAAACACCAAGCGGTCACCGGTGACCGCAACCTATTGTTTTATAATTGTGTCTACAAAACCGGTACTCGACGTGTTAACCACCACGCTTGCTCATTGCGGGTTGGCGATTTCAAACTAATAATTAGAAATTATAAGCTCAGGTTTCCTCACGATGTTTTCCTTCACCGTTTGTCAGTGGTGTCTAGATAATCTTAGAATGTAGGTACATATAACTCGGAAAAAGTCACATTGGAACTTGCCGTTGGTAGGTTTCAAACCCACACCCTCATGCTTGAGAAGCGCGCGTCTTATCCTTCGGGCTGACGCGGAGAACCTAACGGGTAACCGGGGCTCCGGCTCGACGTGCAGGAGTAGGAACGGGGTGGTTTTTAGTCAGTAAGAGTCTGACACTCCCTCCCGCTTCACCCAGGCGGGAGCAGTCATTCGATGATTTTACCCCCTTAAAAAAAACCTTCGGGCTACCACGACTAATTATATATTTTTCATTAGTTAAAACGAATCGTGTTTAGTCTATTTTACAATAAACAAATCAAAATTTTATAACAGAAATCAAAAGCGTCGCTCCACATTACAATACATTTTTTGAGTCCTCTATTTATTATTTTTTCAAAATATCCCGCCTCTTACCAGCCAACGTCATTTTGTGGTGGCTTGGTTAGTGGCAAAGGAGTTTCTTATTCTAAAATATTGTTTATGGTTTGAAACTCAACAGTCTATTATTTATTATAGTCTATTACTAATATTTATTGAATACTAGCGACCTGCCCCGGTTTCGCACGGGTGCAATACTTATGTAAAAATACCTACTACAAAATGTCCTTATACACCACGTTCACAGCTACTTAGTCATTAGACAATATAAACATGTTTTATATTGATATTTTCCTCGCTAGAGAGCTCCGATAAACGCGTGCGATCGATGCAAATCATGAAGTGCTCTAGGACGAAGCGCGGCCATTAACGCCGCAACAAATACGTCCCTGCATTTTAAATTTGTAATATCTTCAGAAATAAAAAGCGTATTGATCTATGACAAATGCACAATTTATTTAAATTACTTAATTGGATAAGGATTAATACTATACCTCTATTGTTTAAAATCACTTCGTAAGTAAAAATTAAGTTAGTAAGTAACAGTAAGTAAATGATAGAAAATGGTTATTTTGGGTTATCCCTAAGAGATAGACAAATACCATCGCGGACTTTTTTATTGAACTTTTTAAGATGGATAATACTGTAGTACATTATTTTGGTCTATCTAGTAAGATACAGCCAGCGTTTGCAATATAGGCGCAAAAAAACGTGCTGATTTAAGACATCACATTAGAAACCTCTAAATTTAACTGTGTCTCTACTATATTATGCATGTATTATACATATGAACCTTCCTTGAGAATCACTCTATCTATTAAAAAAACCGCATCAAAATCGGTTGCGTAGTTGTAAAGATCTAAGCATACATAGGGACAGACAGACGGCGGATAGCGACTTTGTTTTAAACTATGTAGTGATAATGAATTGTTAACAGTAGTTAAAATAAAATAGATAACTACTAAATAAATAATGAACAAACATAAATTACTAAGCAGATTTAATCAATGTTCAATTTGTGGGAAATAGTTACAATCTTATAATAACTACTACGTTCAAATAATACAAAAAAATTACAATTCTTATCAATATTAATTACACCGATGCATACACCACCTTACACTACATTTTATAGGCGGGGGTGGACTGGGCTACTGGCGGGCGGGCGGCGCGTGCGACGAGTTGGGGTGTGCGCGGGGGTGTGCATGCATTGGCGTGTGATTGGCGTGCTCCTCGGCGCCAAGCCGGCGCCAGTTTCGGCGCCGAGCTGTCTCGTTCCCGAACACCCCGTCATACACTGTTGCCATTCTTCTTTCAATCTGCCATTATCTCGATAAGAATGGCAACAGTGTATGACAGGGCGCGCCCGCGTATTGCGAATTGAATGAATTCGTTGCAGTGCAGTATGACAATAAATCAATACAAATTGATACGTAGATTTTTTTGTATGAAAAAATAAATAACCAATGATTTACACCTACTATTATAATCTTCAAACACAACACTACCTCCCATTAAAACCGTGGCAGATAATTATATAACACCTTATATAAATAAATAAAAAAATAAGACTGCCTCGTTGGCCAAGTGGTCGCAAGTGCGACTGCCGGGCAAGGTGGCAACATCACGCCTTTTATCCCCGAAGGGGAAGGTAGAGGTGCACATTACGGCAATTGATGCCACTGTACAATACCCACATTTCACTATTTGTGTTATGACTTATGAGTCCCATTTAATGTGGCAGCACTTACGACCACTCGACCAACGAGGCAGTCAATAAGTTTATTTTTTATTAATCAGTTTTATTTGTTTTACAGCGAACGTAGATAGAAGTGCTGCTGACTCTCCGCCCTTGAATGGAAGGGCCGTTCATTTGGCTTTAGAAACCGTCCTAGAATTTAACGACAAAGACAAAGAATCAGATCTAAAGTTTCTAGACAAAGTAAAAAGTCTAATAAACAAAGTTAAGACTGTGATTGATAAATCAGGCAGCTATAGAAGGGAGTTCAAAGATGGGGACATTGAAACACTCACTGATTTTATACAACAAGCTGTCAGTATACTAAACTCATACGACGACGCAACATTTGATGATTTCTTCAAAACTCTAGACGATGAAGTACGAAAATATCATTACAGGGGATGTAAGTTTCATGAATTGATGGAGAATTTTGAAATTAGGTCATTGTTAGGTACTGCATTTGATTTGATTAAGGCAAAACCAGTCCAAGTTATAAAGGCATACATGACCGTGCTTGCTGATACGTTGAAAGATGAAAGTTACGATAGCAATGTTAAAGAAATCATAAATAACATCAATTCATTGTACGGGACAGAGTCTAAAAACAAACTGACAAAATTTTTACAAGAAATTGACAACTATGGGAAAGGTACGTCGGAGAAGAAACACAGTACTTTAGTCAGAATCCTTAGAGATGGGATCCGGTCGATAGTATTTGATCATTATACAGAATTGAACCCTTATGCAAGAAGAGAGTTGAAGGCCAAAATAGAAATGTACTTGAAAAAGTGCAAGGAATCTCCATCTAATTTAACTAGTAATAATGTCAAGTCAGAAACAATACCGAAAAAGTCGCTCCGACACGGCGTATATAAGAAAGACACTATAATACCATCTGAAAAGAAACTGGCCAGAATAGATATAAATCCAAAGGATTTTAAAAAGAAATCTGTTGAAAGACTTTCAGGGGATGAGAAAAAAGGAATTCGACACCATAGAAAAGAAAAGAAAAGACAATTGAAATTTCCCGCAATCCCTGTACCAACAGTAAAAGAAGAAGACAAAGAATTGAAAGCTCAATCACAAGATGAAGAACTATCATCACTATTCTCGAGTTCTGAAGATGATGGTGAAGCAACAGACGAAACCGTTGAAAGAAATTCCATAGATATCTCACCAGAAAGAAAGAAAGCATACAATACTATGAGATATGTAACACTATATCCTGAAGCAATTACAAATGTCCCGAGAGACAATGACAAAGATACAAATGTCGTTCATCGATCAGGCAGAGCCACCACACCAAGACAACACAGATTCCTAACCATGTTGGTGGAAGAATCAACAGGAGGAATTCCGCAATACATACTGAATAAATACAAGGCCACATCGCTGAAACCACGCAAGCGAAAGCATAAGAAAGCAAACACGAAGAAGGAGAAGAAACATAAGAAAAAGCACACGAAAACTAAAGACAAACATTATAATAAAGATGAAGGTAGAGAAAGTACAAAGAAGAAACATGGACAGAAATATAAAACACATCATAATACAAGATATACAAAGAAATATGTAACAAAACACACAACTACATACAAACCTAGCCGTGAACATCATTATACTTCCAAGAAACATAAAAGTAAACCAAGTTATGAGAAACTGAAACATAGCAACAGTAAGAAGATACATAAACTGCAAGAGATCAAAGAGGATCCTCCAGGATTGTCTACAAAAAAAATTAACAACATATTCGGACCTGTGAGATTGGATGTTAAGTAAGTTTTGCGACATTATTTTTCATTGTCATCAGCCACAAAACATCCACTGCTAAACATTAACATGTAACTAAGTACAAAATGCACGATTGCAAAAGTATGCTCCGCTGCGCTCCATTCGAATCCACCTCGCTTCAATGAAACATTAGGAGCATTGTTAAAATTCACTGACCGCTTTTCACCGCTCTTCACCGCTCCTCTCCGCGTCAGTGGAAATGCGACCTTATGCTTCCTCCGATGCTTGAAAGACTTGATTGCACGGTTGGTGCGGTGGCTGGGCAACCGGCTGCCGTGCAACGTGTCGCGGGTTCGATTCCCGCACGGAACTACACTTTGTGTGATCCACAAATTGTTGTTTCGGGTCTTGGTGTCATTGTGTATGTGATCTTGTATGTTTGTAAACGCACTCACGACACATGAGAAAACCGTACTGTGGGGCAACGTTTTAAAAAAATGGTTTGTTAACTTTAATTGTGTAACTATAATTGCCTCTACCATTATTACTCCTTTTGCATCCACCGTTGGATATTAAACATCTACAATCTAGCATGCAACTGGTCTCAAACTTAATTTACCTACTCGCATCTAAACACTAACAAAATTATTTTCAGTCTTTATACTTAACTTTTTACAAAAATTATGTTCAGAATTCTCAAATTCTATATTAATAA